GACAAGCATACAAGGACTGAAGATGTAAGAGGTGACACAACAGAGTCTTTTCAATGGCATTACAAGGAACAATGCATGTTTCCTATAGAGTTTACTTTTGTTAATTTCCAAAGTCTGTGCCAAATTATTTATCCCCATTATATTTGGTTTACTAAAGACCAGTATATTCTAAAAAGCTAATTTAGCAAAGAGGGAACAGCAGTTGAAGATATCAGTCCTTGTAACAATTTTGTGGGGGCTCGTAAAATTTTAACAAAGAGTCCTGTCTTCTTTTCCATTAATGTTTCAGGGCCCAAAATGGGGACAGGGAAGTGCAAATGCAACCAACGACTTTGGAATTATAAAAATCTATATGATCTGCACTTTGGATTTCAAACAGGAAAGAAATGACAGATCTTTTTTGTTATCATTTGTTATATCTTACACAAAAATCCATTTAAAATTGTAGCAAGAAGCCTATTTCATCTAGACTTATGATGGATGACAAATCCTCATGCTGGCAATAGACCTGAATTTTCTTTTAGCTGGTGTGCTTTTCATCCCAAGCTACCCAATTCCGCCTATGAGGCCAAGCACGTGACAGTGAGTTGGAATACCTCAATTTACTTCTCATCATTTAATTTAGAATTCCTGGGTGAAATTAGGATGCTCATTAATTCTTAGGGCCATGTTGTTAGTTTTCTAAGAAAACAGGGTATGAGGCTAGTCCCAAACTCCAGGATTCAAGTGATCCTCCTACCTCAGCCTCCAAAAGCACTGCGATTACAGGAAGGAGCCACCATGCCCAGCTACCTCATCTTTTAAATTGTAATCATAAAAATACCTATACCTCAGCACATTGGTTATGATGATTGCAGAGAAGAGTTAAAATATTTAACATAGTTAGAATGGTGCTTAGAGAATAGTAACTGCTATACAATTGCTAACTCTTATCATTTACCAGGGGTTCTGACTTACCAAGATTTGGGAATATGTACTATGGTAATCTTTTTCTTGTCTAGTTTCAGACATCATTTTTTTTTTCAAAATTTAACAGCCACAATAGTTCACTACAGTTGAACTCTTTATAAGATATTATAAGAAAACCAATATTACATATCAGAAATGCTGTCAAAAATATGAGTTACAACACAGACAACAATATGAAACAGGCATAAAGAAAACTGAAGTAAACAGACTAGCAATTTGCCTTTTTAACTTATTAACACAAGCTTAAACTTTTGTTAAAGAAAGAAACAAAGAACGTCTTAGGAGAATTGCAGAGCATTCAATTGAAGACTGAATTTCATGGTATGGTATCCCATAGAGAGAAAAATAAGACTAACTTTTCCCCTGCACTCTAACACAGTGTAATTTTGCTTTTGGAACTTTGCTGATCTACTCTCCAACCTCCTTCTCAACAAACTCTAACATATCCCAATCAAAGGAGAACTGATCTAGAAGGGGGACAAATAAAATAAGAGATCTTTAGGGAGAGGGAGAACCAAGGAAACAGAAACCACTTAAGTCTGGCCAGGTAGCACCTCATGGCTTCCTCTCAGTCTAAATTCAGAATCTGAGGCATACCGTTTTTTTAATCTTGGTTTTTTCAATGGCAGTCAGTTTGACTAAGGTACATTCAGGAATCTATCAGCTATATCTACGCATTTCTAGGTAATAAGTTTCTGAATCTGGAGTCATTCTCATTGGGGAAATGGAGACCTCAGCAACGAGGCTGAGGCTGAGGCTGAATGTATGCACTCTTTTACATACATTTAGTGATGGTCTTGTATCATTTTTTCCCCTACAAATGTTAAGGATCAGGTATAAGAGATGTGTAATGCCATAGGAAACACTTCTTCCCGGATGGAGTCAGCCAGTAAGCAAAAGCCATAAGCAAGAGAAAACACTGAATAGTAAGAACCATGAATCAAGGTGCTAAGAAAAAGAGACAAGTAATAGACCTTAGGATGGATAAAATCATTCCATTAAACTGAATTTTTTTGATACCTGGGGATGTTTTTAAGAGAGCTTTCCACACATAAAGTATTCTTGCCCTCGTCTTTACAGTACAGTTAGGAAGTTAACTCTCTAACCCCAGTATTTGGTGGGCCTGAGGTAAGTGACACCCAAGTGCTTATCTATATTGTCATCAACACGGAAAATGGAGGGTCAGTAATGCCGGGCTGTGAGAAGATATACAATTGTATATCTAGATGGGACAGGGGGAGAAATGAGTTGAGCAACCGAATCAGCTAATGACATTTGTATAAGATACTAAAACCTGTTCAAAGAGAGAGAACTGAAAATAAAAGTTGGGGGCCAAATTTAAATGGGATCCACAATGGAGTGGCCACAATGCTGGCAGAGAAGCAGAATCCTCATCTAGAATAAAGTCAAATTGAAGACTGCAAAGGAAATAAAGTGCCACACAGAGAAACAGGAGGAATAGGGCTCCAGGAGCTAAGATAAAAATTTACTGAGCAATTTATTGCCGTATTAATTGACTGTCACTGGCCTAGCAGCAAATCAGCAGCAGGGGTTTTGTAAAGGCATACTGGGGGTTCTGACAGCAGTTTATATCACAGAAAACCTCCTTCAAACCTGTATTTGTTACGATACTTCAGCAAAATCCTAAATCTCATGAAGTCATCCATTCGCATATGAACTGCAGTAACCAAATTTTTATCTGATCACATATAGTTTATCCACAGCACAGAGCCGAGTCAAGTAATCAAATAAGGCTTAAAGATCCCCTAGAAAAGGCTTAAGTAATTTCCACCAAGGGCACTTAGGGACTTAGAGAAAAAGTATTTAAAGCAAAGGACATTTTTTACTCCTGGTTTAGAAAAGAATGGACCAGTGTTAGTTAGTGGTTGGCTTATTCGGTGATATTTATTTAACCACCTACTATAAGCCAAGCATTGAAGACAAAGATGGAGAAGACAGGGTCCAGGCCTCAAAAGACTTACAGTGTGTGTGGGGGTGGAGACAGGCATGTAAATTAGTAAAGATAATAAAATGTTACAGGTTCTATAACAGAAGTATGTCGATGGTAAAATAGGGACATAAAAAGAGAGAGTGATGAATTCTACAGGGCTAGGGGGATCATAAAGTCTTTAGAGAAAAGGTGACCCTTTAAAAAATAAATGCGGCAAATCATGATATTAATATCTATTACATAAAAGAAAATCACATACATATAATTTGTTCTTCATTACAAAAGAGTGACATCTATTTTGGGATGGATAGGCTATAAATAAATTTGTAAAACTTCTCTCTCTTCAGAAATACTCAACTATCCTCTTTGACAATTGGACATAATTTAGTTGTCATGGTAGCAATCAATAGCCAAGTATATAAACTTCCAATTGGCTCTGTTCATGAGGCTAATTAAGACTAAAGTTTTTTCTTACATATTGTTCGTGAAGGTCTTATTTATGATTTGGGTACATATATCCATCTAAATAATATTGGCCATATAGATTTTTGGTAGTTATCTATTACCTTTAGAGGTTCTTCCTCCCAAACACTTGCACCCATGTTTATATCATTTAACCCATGTTAAACCCATTGCACCCATGTTTATATCATAAGCCCTTTCAAAGGGCTTATATTGATGTGGGTTTCTTAGATATGCCTAGTCTAGATAAAACCTTAATGACTAAAGCCAGATCAAACTCAATAAAAAGGTTTGAGGCTAAATAATAAACAAAAATATGCATTTTTCTAACCCTGTCTTCTATGCTTCTCCCTAATAGCAAAGAAGAAAGGAAAGATCTCCCTCTATGATTTCCACTGATGGTCTGTGGAGATATCTAAATGTTTGGTCATTAAATGCTTTAGGTTCTTAGTCATCTAATATTCTTTACTTTGGAGACACATGTGACATGAAGCAAGTAGAAAAGAATCTCTATTGGTGTTTTAGACTGAAAGGTTAAGTCTATGGCAGAGCTATACAGAGAATCAAGATCTCTTAAATTCCCAGATTAAAGCATTTCCATTAAAAGAGGAAAATCAAGTTGTTTTCCTATACAAATATTACTGAGAATGGCAAATAGCCCATTTTAACTAGAGTATCTTCCTCTAGCTCAGAAGAAGCAGGAAGGCCTATTTCTTCCTCTTGTTTTTTTCCTTAAACTCCAGGAGAGAAGAGAGGCAGATTGTCCCTAAGCTAGACTACCAGCATACTTACACCTGTAGAGGAAAGCACTCTTTTCAAAAACAATATATATAGTTAAAATAATGTAAATTTGTCCACCACGGTTCAACACAGGACTTTCAGAAACTGTTATACTACTGTGTCTCACCCAAAATAAAATCTATTATTGCAGAAGAAGTAACAGATTAATGAAAGAGAATAAGGCAACATAGGTTTTAGGGACATTAGTGAAATTCATTTAAGAAATGCCTCCATTTATAATAGCTTAGCAATTAAGCTATTACCTTATTGTCTGAAACAAAAGAAATAATATTTTTATTTTGCCCATTCCCAAAATCTGTGCAGAAACCAAGCTCAAGCCCCATAATTGCTAAATTCAGCTTTCCATTAGAAAAATAACACATAAAAAATGAGCACAGAAATGATAGAAATGAAACTTCTAAGCTGGAAACTGACTTCATTACTGTTAAATCATATGAATAATTTCTAATTGATTTGTATTGGGCAGGAATCTTATATTCCAGAACCATGTTCGTCTATTTATCACAATATATTCTGTATGACATATGGAAACTAATACATTGCTTCATTAATATTTAAGTCTTTCTCTAGTTATGGCTCAGAGATATTTAACATTCTAAAACATAAGCATTTATAATTACATGTTTTACATTTTACTCTAATTTTTAATACTGCCAAGATTATTTAGCATAACTAACTTTTTAACTACGTACTCTTTTCTCTCTTTACCATTAGCATATCAATCAAATTTGCATTACTCTGCTTTGCTCATTTTATTAAAAGTGAATTCAGGGCACAATTGACTTTTCATTTGTTTAACAAGTAAAGAAATATTTACCCTGACAGCCATTGCATTGTAGAGATTCATCTTCATAGTATAATATGCTACCTGTGAATCAAGAAAAAAAAAGATGGCATACAATTCAGTTACACAAAGACAGTGTAGCCTATTTTTACATACAAAAGATAAGAATCTTTATACATTATACATAATAAGAGTTCTAGGCTTAGAGAAATGAAATCAAACTTTGTATTGAAGAGATAGGCTTCCTAATACATAATGCAAGCTTAACCAGAAAAATCTATGGTAGTCAAACTAGAAGCTAATGGAGATATATGATCATAAAATGCTCTCCGCTGAGTTTGGTAATCAATGGTGCTCTACTGAGAATAGAATAACAAAGCAGAAATATTCACAAGTGCTGGTGACATGTAGTATTGTATGATTTATTCACTGGGGTTCTTTTAGCCAAAACTCACAGAAACATAAAAGGAATTCATATTTCAAGACGTCTGGTTTAATGAAAAATTCAAAGAAATGCTGTCTTCAGTCGAAATCGTTCAAGTATATGGATGCAGTGACGGAGCAAAATTGTGCCTTCCAACCATCTATGCAAAATGCTATGTACTTAGCTGCCTCCTGAGTAATCCCTGGGAATTTTGTTTCATTTAATATTCATTTTAACACCATAAAATCATAAATACAATGATATCATGTTACAGCAAATCCCTTGATATAGTGAAGACTTCCTAAAGTGTTGGTTTCTTTCTGGTAAAGACACATTTATCTATTAACACACAAATCTCTCTTATAGCAAATCATTTAGCAATATAGCTTATTTCAATGAAAATATTGCTTTAGATAAATCTTCCACATCTGTTCTTTCAATTAAAAATATAAAATTAACATAATTCATGACAGTACAGTAAAGGGTAGAGCAATGAAATACATATTTTTTCAATGCGATATACAACTTTATACATTTTTATTCAACCAAAATTCATTCAAGGAATATAAGTTGAGGCCAGGTAATCGGTGTCATGTTTCAGGCAAAAATCAGAGAAGAGTGCCTTAACCCTTTATAGAGGGGTTTTCTGGCCCCTGCCAGACAGGAATTCACACAAAAGGGTTTCACTGTAATTAGGGTTGTTTGAATTGCCTGGTCTGATCCAAAGCAAAGTATCTATGGAGAGCAGCAGGGCTGGATTATTTATCAACAGTTTGAGCAATTATGAAACAGTTGGCTGCAATATGTTATTTACAAATGAACACAATGATGTTACTTCACTTTAAGTTCTCTTTCTTTGTTATAGCAAGCAAGGCATAATTCTTGGTGTTTGAGGCGATTTAAAATATTTACTTTAATATTCTATTGTCAAATTGAAGCAAACACTGCCATTAAAAACTTTTATAGAAAGAAATACATTGGAAATTATACACTCCAAAAAGTGTTGGTTCAGAAAAAGATGTTTTTTTATCTTAATCATATTATTGTTTAGTTAACAGTAGAAGGTGAGTGTGAGCTTTTGAGCCACAAACCTGAGTTCAATTCCTAACTTTGCTTTTAGCAGCTGTATGGCCTTAGACAAATTACTTAAAAGACTCTTAGTCTTGATTTCCATTCTTACAAAATAGGGCATTACATGCTTGATTGAGTTGTTCTGAAGATTAAAAAGAGATAATGTATTTAAGGTGCTTGCGACATAGATGATAGTATTTAAGGATTATCAGTAGTGCTATCAGTTACACATTCTGTGGCTAAAAGTATGTAATTTAACTGAAAGTAAAATTCCAAAAAGTATAAAGGGCTCAATTTCATCATGAACTAACAGGAAAGAGAGGTACAGCTTTTGAGTCTAAGAATTCTGAATTCTATAGTTAAGAGGTAGGAAAGCACTTTGGTCTTCACCTATCATTCGCAGGTGAACCACTAATTGATACGACATTTATTCTCAATTCTCTACCCCAGATGCTTTCAAAAGTACTGAAAAAACATATGTGATGCAGATACCGTATGATTCCAATTATATGAGATAATTAGAATAGTTGAATTCACAGAGACAGAAAGTAGAATAAAGGTTACCAGGAGCTGGAGGGAAAGTGGGGAGTTATTTATAGTTCAACAGGTACAGAGTCTCAGTTTGGGATGATGAAAGTTTTGGAGACAGATAGTCGTAATGGTTGCATAACAAAGTTAACGTATTTACTGCCATTGAAGAGTACAGTTCAAAATAGTTGAAATGGTCAACCTTAAGTTATATGTATTTTATCATAATTAAAAAAAATCATATGTGAATATGAACTGTGCATTTCTATAAGGCATATAAAAAACACATTTGGACACTGAAATTTGGTAAAATTTCATTTAAGTCTTTGAATTTTTCCACTCTATACAATGGTGATTATTTGTTATACTGATGTTTGTCCTTTTAACTATTCCTTTTGAATAGTTAAAGTATCACTCATATAAAAGCCTTTGTTCTTAAAAAATTATTTTCTGGAATCTTGTCCTAAAGGGTTTTTGTGTTTTTCTTATTCCATGGTGTTGGGTGAGCAAAACATATACTAACTACCAAAGGTTAATAACATACCCAAGAATGACAAGCCAATTCAAATTTTGAGCAGAAAAAATTATTATTTTCCTTACTAATTGTTAATTTCCTATTCCTTTATCATCAAGATACCAAGTCTACTTTAAAGGGGAGGACTAAAGATCTGTGGTGACAATTAAACATTAAGGGGGTAGATTGTTTTATTGTAGTGGAAACGTGCTAAATTATAGATGCTCACAAAATGTTGTTGAATAAATGAAGGAAAGGAAAGAGACAGGGAAGGGGAAAAGAAAGGAAGTAGTGAAGGATAAGGAGAATTGCTATCTTGCAACAAGTAGAGTCGGAAAAATTCCTGGATTAAAAAATAGCATCTGAACTATCAATCATTATCAATTTATCAATCATTTGTTAGCTATATAACCTTTGTCACATTACCTAGCTCAGTTTTTAGAAGGCTTCTGAGATTTTTTATGGGAGGGATGTATTTCTTTTGAAAACATAATTAATATTCTGAGTGGGTAATATCCATCTGGACCTTTTAGACAGGGCTGCTATTCAATGAGATTAGACCAGAGTGGTCATACTTGTTATTTATAACTGATGTCCTGTCTGATTTGTTGGTCACTACTTGTGACAAGTGAATCACCCTACTGTACTGACTGCTAAGTATTTTGAATATCATCCTCTTCTAAGATAAACTTCTGAGTATTTAGTTTCAGCAGTGGCTACATTTGTTTTCTATTTTCTATTGAGGATTTGATTCTTTCTTTTGTACCCATCATTTCCAATCATTCCCTGAGCTTTGTCGAGTCTTTTTTTCCCATGACCGAACTACCTACAATGTTCATAACTTCCTCATCTTAATTTTAATCCACTTGGAATGCCTCTTGTAGGTTAATTTTGTAAAGTATTGCTTTTAACAAGTCCTTTTTTGGATATTTAAAAATCATAGACCTTTTGTCATAATGACAGTGTTAAGAAAAAATAATCATAGACCTTCAATAGTTTCCAATTGCTTAAGGCAAGGCATCTTAATTGGGCTGATTGATGTACTTAACACACTTGAGTATTTCAGATCACCAGGAGAAAGAGAAATAAAGTCACAAGCTAAGGCACATAACACTTAACTTTTTTATTTTTCTAATTGGATAATGATTACTGATAAGGATATGTTCCACATTTAAGTTTCTTTTTATATCAAGTTAATTATATTGGGAGGGGGGATATATGAGAACCACTGCCTTATAGGTAAAAGTGATAATCAAAGTTCACCACAATCACGTGACAGTCTTTTTTTCCAATTATCCCTCACTGCTCCTTTCCTTTAAACCTCAATCTCATCAAATTATTGCATGTTTTTCCCTCCACTTTCATATTCATAATACTCCCCTTGCCTGAAATATCCTACCATTTCTTTCTAGCTGTCCAAACCCCATCTCCCTTGTTTTTCTTACAAGCATTTATTTAAAAAAGAAACTACTTTTTCTCCCCTACTCCATGTATCAACAAGAAATTGGCAATCTCCTAGCACCAAGGGTACTTTCAAACCATTTCAAACCAGTAGGATGTGCATCTTTAAAAACAAAAAAGAAACAGACAAACAGAAAAACTTAGAATGTCAAGCTTTTCAACTTTATTGCCCTCTATCCATTTTGGGTGTTATCCTTCCTCAGGCCTCTGGAAGAAAAGAGGATATATACCTAGGTTAATCATGGAAACAACCCAAGTGCCCGTCAATTCATGAGTGGATAACCAAAAATTTGGTATATGCTCACAATGGAATATTACTCCATTCTAAGAAATGACAGTGAGCTAGCACAGTTTATGCTATCCTGGATTAACCTTAAACCCGTTATACAAAGAGAGGCAACACAAGATCTGGAAAATGGGCTACACATCTACTCGCCATCAAATTGGTACTGACTGATTAAATCTATGGTGCTCAAACAGTGGCAGTGTTCACCAGGGATTGTGGGGGGAGGGGGACCCACATCTCAGGGATATGGCGAGCATTGTTGGGGGGGAAGGGATTACTCTAACCCTTTTTAGGGAGAGGCAAAGATACAATGTAACCAAAATGTCAAAAAAATAAAAAAAAGACAGCTAGGTTAAGGTCTTAGTCATCATAGGAACTCCTGCCATCATCCTATGATTTTTCATATGCATGCAGACAGCACATCCAATTGTCTAATCTCACAATTACCTGCCTTTTTCAGGCCCAGTGACCTCCACTTCGGTTTAGCCTCATACTCCCACAGCATGCTTCAGACCTTGTCAACTATTACTGTCCCACTTCTTATTTTAAACCCAGACCACAAATTCCCCTCCTTAAAGCACTGGGGGCTTATTTTCTATTAAAAGGCTTTCCCACCTAATTTAGATAGATTAAGTTCCCCTCTCTCTTTTTCCTCAATTTCAAATTCCTTCTTCACATATTTTCATATACAATATACCATTGTGACATGGTATTTTACCATGTATGGTATTTTTACCATTTTATGGTATATGAACATGCCGTAAAATTACTTAAGTTTTTCTTTATTATTAAGCATTGGG